CAAAAGGAGCCGGCTGAAGTCGAGAAGATCCTGGCAAAGTACGTCGTCCCCGATGCCTATACCCGCCGATCAACTTGTTCGTGCCGTCCTGATCATCTGCCCGTAGTATCCGATCAGGATCACTCGATGTCCCTGTTGTAGCTGTGCTTGTGCCCGTCATTCCCGCGGAGGGCGAGGCGACGTTCACGCCCCCTGCCTACCTCGAATCGCCGGGCAGCTCGACGCCGGCACTCGTCCCCTCTGCCATCTTCACGAAGAACGAGCCGCGGGTCCGGGAGGCACTGCAGTGGGCGCTGAAGACTGGGCACACCGTCCACATAGATGTCCAATGCGATATACGCGAGGTCGAGGGTGGCTGGGACGCACTGGAAGAGATGCTGACGAGCATGACCATCTCCAAGGACGTCAAGGAGCTCCATGGAAAGATTGTCGTGTGTACGTATTCGCGTGTTCTGTGCTGACATCCGCTTACGGTGTCCCTAGCGAATATCCTGCCGCCTCCGGACGACCTTGCGCTGCCGATCGTGAAGCTGCTGACGCACCCGTCGTATCGCAACTACCAGTCACACGCGGCCGCGCTTTCGTTATTCGGCAACGTGTGGGTGAACCTGCTCCCTCCTGCGTGGGGCGCACCCGTCCCGTCTGCGTCGCAGAAGGAGCGCAACGAGTGGAAGCGCAGGCTCAAGATGTATAGTGCGTAACGCTTTTGATTCTCCAGCCTCTCAGAGCTGAGCCTGCGCGAGCAGTCAGCCCTGTCGTCGAGGCATTTGGGTTCCAGCGTATCATCTTCGGGTCTTCGCCGTCATTGGCGTCGCAGGCGGGCGACTGGTAGGAGCTAGCGCGCGCGCGTCCTGGATCACGAGCGTGCGAGAACTGACCGAGTGAAAATCGAGAGATAGGCCAAGTGCACGGCAATAGAGGGCAATAGAGGGCACGGCAATAGAGCAGAGTAGGGGGCAAGGCAATAGAGGGCCATCGAGGGCACGGCAATAGAGGAGAGCAGGGGACACGGCAATAGAGCAGAGCAGGGGGCAGGGCAATAGAGGGCGGTAAAGGGAAGTAGAGGGCAAGGCAGTAGAGCGCAGACTGTACACACAGTATCCACAAGTAAATATATTTTATAGTCTACTACAGCCTACTGACAGACTCACTCCCCGTGCTCATTCCAGTGCTCTTGACAGGGCACATCCCGCGCCCTGTGTGTCGCGCACGCCGCGCCCTTCGTCCAAGCCGCCGCCGCCACCTCCCGCTCAGTTCTTCTGCCAAACAGATCGCCCGCGGGTCCGCCTTCGACCGCCGCTTTGCAGTCCCCGCTCTGCTCCAATGTCTCCTGGACAGACCGACACGTCAACCGGGATGTCAAAGCGACAGTCCACCCACGCGCGAGCATGTCAGCCAGCTGCCCCGCGCGCACGCTGGCGACAACCAATACTGGCCAAACCCGGTCAGTTGTAAACGCCCCGCGCGCGTCCAGAAGCGGTCACTACCGGGGGCGTCCAGACAGCCCGTCGCTCATGCGCCATATACGCACCGAGCGCGATAGCAGCGGCGCGCCGTGACGGCCAGCGACACTGACCGGACCCAGTCAGCTGGCAGCCCACAGCGATCAGCGGGAGCGCACACGACGCATCCGACCGTCTGAAGACCGCGCACGCTGACCAGACCCGGTCAGCCGTAGACACCCCGCGCATGTCCAGAGACGGCCACTGTCCGGGACAGCCCGCCGCTGATGCGACACCGAGCGCTGCAGCGGGACACTGTGATGGTCAGCAACGCTGACCGGGCCTGGTCAGCCGGCGATGCGTGGCAACCATCCACGGAAGCAGTGAGAGCGCGCACGACGCACCTGAATGTCTGCAGACCGCGCGCGCTCGGTCAACGACACACACTGGCCAAACCCGGTCAGTCGTCAACGCCCTGTGCACGTCCAGAGGCGGTCACTGCCAGGGACGTCCAGACAGCCCGCTGCTCGCATGCCATATACGTACCGAGCACTGCGGCGGGCCGCCGTGATGGGCAACACACTGCCCGGGCCTAGTTAGTTGTCAATGCGCCGTGCGCGTGATAAGACGACTGCCAGTGGAAATGGCGAGGGCGCACCGCCAACGCACAGGCATATACATCGAGCACCGCCGCCGCGGCTAACGACGCTGACCGGGCCCCTTGACCTCGAAACGCTTGTGTGCTACCGTGACGTGCTCTCGGACGACCTGCGCGCAGAAGGACCAGATTGGGCGCAGACGAAGAAGATTGCGATGGGCGCTGCAATGGACAAACTTCAAACCAGATCGTCGTGTCGTGTGTCGGATGCACCGCCATCGCTGATGCTGGACCCCATTGACCAGCCGCTGTCGTCCTCCCCGCTGAGCATATTGCGGACGACGCACACGTTCGAGTCGCCCGGGACATTGCCTCTGGACACAGCCGTTCAGTGCGAGTTCTCGTTCCGGATGCGTCGGGGCGGGCACAAGCGAGCCCGATGGTGGCGCAGCCATCCACGGAGAGCGAGGCGTCAACGTCGGTGGTCCATGGGACGCACAAGAAGTTCTATACCGTGCCCGAGCCGCAGGATGAGCAGGCAGAGGAGGGGAACAAGACACGCGCAGCGAAGCAGGTGTTGCTCGTGTTGCTGCCGCCGGACTTGCAGATCTTGGTGCTGTTCGGGAAGCATGGGCGCGCAGTGAGCGAGAGCCTCTCGGAGGACACTAACAACACTGACCGGACCTGGTCAACTGTCAGCACACAGCGATCATCAGCGGGAGCGCGTCAGCTGTCCCACCCCGTGCATATCTAGTCGTTCGAGAGCACAATCACATCTGCAAATGTTGGGCCCTCGCACCTTGTTCCGTTGACCATCCCCGCACTTCCATCGACAGCAATCTTGAAGTTCACCTCCCGGATACCCGCACCCACTCACGTTGAACAGGCCCGCATTGGTATTGTAATGCCCTAATCGGGATGAGCACTGATCGATCACGCATCTCAATCGTGGCACTCACCTCGTCTTTGGTTCAACCTCCACCCACGCCATCTCGCTCGCTCGCTGTTGGATGCATGCTGCCGTGGCTGATAACAGACAAGCTGGTGAGGTCCTATTGGTAAAAAAGGATGATAACAGGTTTTCACTTACTTGGAGGCTGCTGACCGGAGGAATAAGAAAGAAATAGAACATAATGACAACTCAGTAAAAGCAGAATGGAAGGTCATAGCGAGGAAAGTAGCAGGAAGGTCGCCGGAAATAAATCACACAGTGTATATATACACATAACACGTATCACGGCCTCAGCCAGACAATAGCCAGCAGTAAGAAATTCACACGGGAAGTATGTAATCCCGATCATCTCACGATTGTGACACCCTGTGATTTTCTGGAAGATGCGATACAGAATTGATGCCCATTTCGGAGCCTTTTGGTGGAGCGCACACACCCGTGTTGACCGGGATCGCAGAGATTGTAAGCTTGCCCACCGCGGGGCAGACAGCGCAAATATTGCGGCATGCAGAGTGCATCCCGCTGAGCAAATCGCGTCATGCTGTAGCCTCACGCGGGACAAGGCCATATGTGGATGCTTGGACGTGCAGTGACTGGGCCAAGGGGCAAGATCGTGTTCTGACGCTTCTGGTGGTGTTTGCACGCTGGCTACACGCGGGCATGGCATCCCGGTGGCAGACACATGAAGCTCGCCCTGCGCGTTGAAGATCACCCCGGATGCGATGCTAGCACGCGCGCTGTCCTGCGAGTGGGTAGTCATAGGGTTGACTGCCCGCGCGGCACGTACGGATTACACGATAGGACCGGACAGGACGCAGAACACAGACACGGGCGTGCGCGTGCGTCCTACCATTGGCGGGTTCTCCGTGCAAGGATGCACGTCTGGTCCGAGGGTGGCAGATGCCGTGGCAACACACGAGAAGCCCGTGCGAGCGCCCCGGTGGAGATGCGCGTAGCTCGGTTGTTGCAGGATGCTACACGAGCAGTTGCGTTATGTATGCGGCGGACCCGGGTTGCCATGATGCAGGAAACGGAGTGTCCGTGCGTGGGTTCGCAACACAGCAGTCGCGCGCATCTCGACCAGGGGACTCACCGGCACTCGTTGCGCATCTCGACAGCACCCTCCGCTATCGCGCCGGAACCGTGTCTTAGCCTGAGAAGCCCAGGACCTGCAGGTGATGCAGTGACTACACGAGCTCAGGGTGAATGAGCGCGATATCTTGATGGAAGGAAATATGAATATGTACACACGTGCGCGACTACAGCAACGACGCGAGATGATGGACGACAGGCCCGCGGACCAATAAAAATAATGATATAGTGCGAGCGTTCGCACCTCTAGCTGACAGCATGGGGCATAGACGAACGCACAAGGGACGACGGGATGTGGTCATGGCTACCGATAGTCAAAAGTGCACAGGGAGATGGCGGCCGAACATTGCGCGCAGCGAGAGAATGACCGTGACTGCGTCCTCCCGCTGCTATTGCGGTGACGAGGGCGCGCATCGCAGCAGGATGACTAAAGGCAGCGCGCACGGACTAGATCCTGCTGCCGCTAGGATGTGTGACCGGCGTAGTTTGACAGTGCAGGCATTGTTGCCTCTGCAATTCCCTACGGCGTCTGCTGCAGGCATGGTGGGGTAATTCGACGGCTGCCAACAATGCGCCCTCGTCGCCGCTCTGAATGCGGGGGCAGTCATCTAGCTGTCAGATTGTCGGCTGCGCGCGTGTTGTGCGTGCCGCTCGGCGTTGCTTTTGTCACCGTTGCCATATTCCGTCTCTTGCCTTATTTTCCCGACTGATGGTATCTGACCGGGGACGCAACGTCCGCACTGGATCTGAGCGCCGGGGCATCCCGCGCGTTGCTCTGGCACCCGATGCGATGCACATTCCCCGCCCTCAGACTGCAGCGGAGGCGCGAGCCGTAGCAGTGGCTAGCTCGCTAGAGCGCGGGAAGAGCGAGCTCGCGAGAGGACATGGCGAGACGACGGCAGGTCGGCGTGCGTCGCAAGGAGGGACGGCGTGTCGGGCGCATACGTGAAAAGCCAAGGCGCCGATCACGCAGCGCGGGGTGACGTGAACCATGGTGGCAGGCACGCGAACGGCGCGAATATGAAAATGCGCGGGTACGGCATTGATGGTGCGGGGACGCTGCGTGCGACGCTACCGAAGCAATAAGGGTGGCGGACGATGCGGGGGCGTTGCGGCCGCTAGATCTAGGCGGTGCGTCCGTCCGCGGGTCTCCGTGCGCGGGTGCACGTCTGGTCTGGTCCGATGGTGGAAGACGCCGCGGCGACGCAAGCCTCACACCGCGCCCGCGCGACGTGCGGAATGCGCGTCCTCTACCGTGCACACTGCGCCGTGCGGTAGTCTCGCTCGCGACCGGAGATGCGTGCAAAGGAGACTGCTGTGGCGCCCCCGCCTCCCGGGGCCGTGCGTGGACGTCCGGAGACGCAGAGCCCGGGCCAGCGGTCATCGCGGTGCGGGCAACGCGCGGTTGCGGTGTCCAGCGGCAGGGCGCGCGGACACCGTGCTGGGCATCGAGAATCTTTCTCCCGGGAGCGCCCCCGGCCCTGCGCATGCGCTGCCAGGGGGTGTCCGCATCGCGCGCGTGCGAAACGCACGCGTTCTGCCGTCGGCGGGGTCGCTGCGCTGGGGTACGGCGCTGGTGTGCGAGGGCAGGGAAGACGCGGGCGCGACGCACGGGAAGCCCCGGCGGAGATGTGCGTGCGCGGAGCTCGCGTGTTGCGGGAGGCACAATGGCTACGCGACCGGCTGCGTTGCGTGGTCAGCGGGGCGCCGTGATGCGGGGAGGAAGTGTGCGTCCGTGCGTGGGTGCGCGACCGGAACAAAACGTGGGAAGGGGGCTGCGGGGAGGATATAAAGAGGGTCGCGGAGAGGAATGGAGGATATTGTGTTCCAGTCGTTAGTTTGTTGGCGTCGACTCGTGTCTGTGTTGGTGGGTCAGCTCGGGTCTGGTGGCGGTATGTATTTGTATGAGTATGCCCGCTATCTGTGCTGACTGTTATTCGTTTGTAGGCGTGGACATTGTACTGTGCGCGGTGTGCTCACATGATTTATTGACCAGAAGAGAGTGGGATGTGCGAACGTCCGTAGCGTGCGGGTGCGGTGTGCGCGTGATGAGTGGCTTCGCGCGTAAGAAACCAGCGCTGCAGCTTGCGGGGAGAGCGGGCGACAGAGCGGCTGATGACCGGATGCTAGTGAGACGCCGCACGTCATGAGACGAGACGCAGCGGGAGAGAAATAATACACCGCGAGCGAGCAGTGAAGATGTCGCGGTGAAGGGCATGCGTGCTGAGGAGATGCGGATGCGGGCGTGTGTGGGGTGTGGGCTGCAGACTGACCTGACTGGAGAAGACTGTGGGAGGGCGCAGGCGCGGCTGCACGAGCTCGGAGTGAGGGGGACATTGCAAGCCTGACATGCGTTCGCTCGCGTGAAGGCGGGCGGCGGGAGCGCGAGCGTTGAGAGATCTGTGAGGCGCGGTCGTCAGATGCAGCGTCCGCGGCAGAACGAAAGCGTCGAGGGCGCGCGGTCGGGACACAACAGCGCGA